GGGGGAATGGGAGGGTATGGGGAGGAGGGGAGGAAGTGGAAATTTTTATAAACAAGCAAATTAATTAATTAATTAAAAAAAGAAAAGGAAAAAAAAACAACATGCTTGGTTATCTACCTGAAGGATTCTTTGTCCTACTACTGTGACACTTGCTGAAACATAAGCAGTGTTTTCTTTTCATAATAGCAAAACATTGCAAACAACCTAAATGTCCCTTCACAAAACAGCGTAGGTAGGAAGTGTGGTACATTTACACAATAGAGTAATGCTCATCTCTTAAAATAAATGAGATCATAGAATTTGTAAGCAAACTGGTTAAACTAGAAAAAAGTCATCATTACAATCATAGTAGTGTAAAAAAAGAAAAGAACAAAGTCATCATTAGTGAGGCAACCCAGACGCAGTAAGGTAAATATAGTATGTGTTCATTTATTCCTGATATGAAATTTTAAATAAATAATCACAAACTGTAATCCATATCTCCAGAGAGGTTAGGCACAGAGGAATTTATAATGGGTGACTAGATGGAGGAAAATAGAGTAAATTTTATAAGTGGAATGTAGCCAGGGGAATTGTGGAACAAGAGTCGGAAGATCAAGAGGAAAATGGAGGGGTGATACATTTGAGGGAGGTAATGAGGGGAGAGGCATCTAGAATTGAAGGGAGGAATGAAAACCTAGTTCAGTGAAAATTTCCTATAATATACACACAATGATATGTTCTTTGTTTATTTATCTAACAAATAAATCTTGCCTGAAGATCATGGTGCAGATCAAAGCCACTAGTTAGCCACAGAGGCTGGACAGTGATGGCACACACCTTAAATCCCAGCATTCGGGAGGCAGATGCAGATGGATCTCTGCATGTTTAAGACCACCCTGGGCTACATGAGATTAAATCTGTCTAAAAGAGAAACAGTGCTCACACAAAGTAATTCCAGCTCTTGAAATCACATGTCTTTAATCCCAGCACTGGGGAGGTGGAGACAGGAGTAAAGCAGGAAGAGACAGAAACTCTGAGGATTCAGTCATAGAATGCAGTCTGAGGATTCAATGTGATCTTACTGAAGTCTCTAATGATGGAGAAGGAACTCCAACTGACAACAACCTCATGTTCAAAAAAAGCTTCCAGTACTGGACTCTGTTATATCCAATTGAATGGTTGGCCCAAATGGTCCCATGGTGTCTTAGTTATGATTTCTTCTGTTGCAACAAAACACCATGAATAAAAGGCAAGTTGGACATGTGCTCAACTATGCTCAAAGCAGCTTTGTCTGTCATATCCAGAACCTGGAAACAACCTAAATGACCCTCGACTGCAGAATGGATAGGGAAAATGTGGTACATTTACACAATGGAATACTACACAGCAGGAAACAAATGAAATCTTGAATTTTACAGGAAAATGGATGGAGCTTGAAAACATTATTTTGAGTGAGGTAACCCAGACACAGAAAGACAATTATCACATGTACTTACTCATAGGTGGTTTTTAATCATAAAGCCAAGAAAATCAGCCTACAAACCTCAATCCCAGAGAATTTAGACAACAATGATAACAGTAAGAGAGACTTACATAGACCTAATCTACATGGGAAGTAGAAAAAGACAAGATCTCCTGAGTAAATTGGGAGCATGGGGGCCTTCAGGGAGGGTTGAAGTGGGGGGAGAGAAGGGAGAGGAGCAGAAAAAAAATGTAGAGCTCAATAAAAATCAATGAAAAAATAAAAATAGCAAGTTGGAGAGAAAATGGTTTATATGGCTTACACTTTCAGATCATAGTCTGTAAGTGGAGTTTTTCATTGTAGCAGCCAGCTCCCCAAAGAACCACACTGAGACTTATTATTAATTATAAATGCTTGGTCATTAGCTTAGGCTTATTGCTAACCAGCTGTTACAACTTAAATTAAATTGGAGGAAATCAGAACAGAAGTTTAAGCAAAACCTTGACCTAGATGCAGAAGCTAACGCAGAGATCATAGAAAAGAGCTGTTTACTGGTTTGTTTCTCATGGCTTGCTCAGCTGCTTGGATATAGAACCTAGGGCAAACAGTTCAGGGATGTCACCTCACAACATGATCTAGGACCTACAACATCTACCACAAATTGAGAATATGCCTCATAGTGACATTTCTTGGAGTCATTTGCTTGAATGAGGCTCCTTCCTCTCTAATAACCCTTGCTTAGGTCAAATTGACACAAAAATCCAGTCAGTACACATGGAATTCGTTAAATATCCCAGTATATTCCCAAGACAAAGTGTTGCTTTCTACAAACTTGACAGCAAGGCTCTCCTGCTGAAGAAAAAAAAACCCATAAAACAACTGAACATGGTGAGGTCCAGATGATGTTTGCCTAGAACCTTCAACCTTGTGTTCTAGTGTCAATAACACAGAAAGTTATTTTACAGGCTATCAAAATAGAAAAGAAAACACCAACCAAACAGCAAATCCTTTGATATATCTGCCTGCAAATAAACTAAGGCAATCATAGCTCAAAACTTGTATGAGTAACCCAATGTCTGATTTGACTGACATCTTACTTCATGAGTTGGAACCCTTACCTGACACTTCTTGGTTGACCAAACCAGCATCTAGATATCCCAGAGACCAAGGGTAAAACCTAATATGACTGATCTAAAAAATAAGGTTAAAAAGGAGTTCCTAATGATATTCTGTTATACTCAAAAATCAGTGTTATTCAACCAACATTAGAGAGGCTTTCTTCTGCAGTAGATGGGAAGACCCACTGTCAGACAGCACACACACACACACACACACACACACATACACACACACTCACACACACATACACACACACTCACAAAAATACCTTGGAACATACAACCCTAAATGAGATGTCGCCATCAAATCTCTACCCTCACAGCTCAAAGAATTCCACAGACGAGGAGGCCGGAGGTGTGAGAGGGACTAAGGGGACAAAGGGGCATCAGGAGGGTCAAACACTCTAAGCTGAGAAAAGCTTATTTGAACTCAGAGACAGAAGCAACCATCACAGAGCATACATGGTCTGTTCCATGTCCCCTGTGTAAATACAATAACTTTTATTTCAGTACTTCTGTGGAACTCCTGATGTACAAAGAGGTATATCTTTAGTTCTTGGGTGTTCTCTTGAGGCCCGTTTGTTTTTCTGTTGGCTTGTCTTGTCCAACTTTGATAAGATAGATTTTATATTATATTCTATTTTGTTGTGTTTTGTAGTTATCTCCTAGAATACTTTTCTTATCTCATGAGAGACAGAAAAGTGTGGGTATAGATGAAAGTGGAGGTAGACAGACTTGGTGGAGTAAAGGAAACATTATTTAAATTATAAAATAAAAATCTATGTTTAATAAAAGGAAAATTAATAATTAACAAAGTTTAAGAATACATAAGAAACATCATTCATATTTGGTTGGTTTAGATAAAAAGTTAAAATATGTGAGAAATTATTATTTTCCTAAATGGTTAGTGAGATGCCTATCTTCTTAGACTTTTTTGAGGACTTTGGCTATAAGGTTAAAAACAACAAAATAGTATTTTCTCAGTAACAGCCTCAAACAAAGTTTCTAGGAAATTATCATTGAATAATATTTCTGATCCTGGATCATGCCAGAGAATACAAGAGCCACCTGAAACATATATTTATGGCCAGCCATAGTTTTGGTTTGCCTGAGAATTATAGTACAGTATCCACAAGGTGCCTATGTAGCAACAGCCATCATTCCCCGGCAGGATGAAAGCCACAAGGTAGGCACCTCTGTTGACAGCTGGCTTTGTAGCTTCTTTGTGCATCATGCGGGCAAAAGAAAAACTCTACTAAATGAACACTCAAAAATAAAGTAGATCAAGCACAGTCTGGTCAGTTCATATAGGCTGCTAATTCTACCAGCAGACAAAGCTCCCATACTCATTTTGGCCAATTTTAGGAAGACAAATTACTAACACATTAACTTTATTTATTGATTTCCTATGATGGAAATTGAGTAAGATTTAGATGGCATGGAAAAAGTACATTTTACATAGTTAAAATAAGATTAGGAGAATTTTTTTTCTTAACCATGCTAAACTTAATCTGGATGCAAATGAGTAATGACTCATAAGAATGAAGGGTCCAAAAGAGGAAAAACAAAGTGATATGAAACGAGTGATGTACACCAGCCACCTACTGAGATTATGCATAAGGGCAATGCAGTTTCTCAAGATGCATGTGAGAGAATAAAAAGCCAGAAATGTAGACACCAGGACCAGGATGTTCTGTGTTGCTCTGGACTCGGGGGACTTCCTATTGGAACCATGATGGCTGCGGATGTGTTGAATCTTTTGCTTGTGTCTGTAGAGAATGACAATCATGGATGTGCCGGACCAGGTGATAAGAACAGAAAAAAATAATTCAGGGCAAACTACCAGTGCTGTATAAAGTGAGTTCTCGATTTCATCATGCCCTATAGTAGAGCAATATCCAAAATCTCGGTTTCTTGTTATGTTCATACTCTTCATTTTGATAAATTGCTTCATAAAGAATATAAAATGTATCAAAATGTAGAAGACCAAGAGGATTGTTATAGAGAAGCCAATGTACTTTGCAGTGTTGACTTTATGATCCTTCCAACAGGACTTCCTGGGGCTGATGATCATGGCCTGGAAGACACTCAAGAGGCAAGTGGTACCAATGCACATGCTCCGGCCAAATGATTGAATATACAACAGGAGCTCACATCTAAAATCATTCAAAAACTTCTTCATTCCCCAAACTACCATTGTGTGGGGTACTCCTGCACAGAGAATAATCAAGATATTGGCTGTCGTTAGGTGCATGAGAATTAAATCTCTGGGCTTTAGTTTACGTTCCCTGTAGTACAGAACTAGATAATAGACCATAAGAGAGAAATTTCCTAGAATTCCAGTAGTAGCTTGTATTAAGAAAATAATTCTGATTGCCAGATTCCAGAAGTCCATTCTGTGATTTAGGATAATTTCCTTATAACATAGCCGCACTGTTTCAAAGGTCAATTGAAAAATGGCAAATGGTTGTATCCAAGGGCGAGGGCAGACACTATTTTTCCATGGGGTTACAGAGAAGCTGAAATCGATGGTCCTTTAAACTTTGGGCTGCCTTAGACTACATAAAAATACCACATCCCCAACATTTTGTCAGCAGTAGTTACATTATTCCATATTTGTTTCTTTGTGATTTCTCAACTCCAGAATAAAAATATTGATGGAAGAATAGCCATCAAGATTTCTAGAAAATGCAATGCCATGATGAAGAGATGTTGGCCCATGAGAAAGAGAAAATGTGCCATTAAGTATAAACAAAAATAACGTAAGACTTTTAGAATTTACTGATATTTGCTAGTCATGTTGTGAAATAAATTAACTTCAATAACAATGACAAAATGTAAATAAAGCAACTCCCTTCTCCCAGCACAATTTTTTTTTTGCTTTCGCTTTGCAAGACAGGGCTTCTCTATGTAGATTTGGTGCCTATCTTGGAACTAGCTCTTGTAGATGTGGCTGGCCTTGAACACACAGAGATCTGCTTGCCTGCCTCGGTCTCCCAAGTGCTGGGATTAAAGGCATGCACCACCACTGCCCAGCTAAACACAATATTTTTATTGATTATTTGGAGATTTCACATAATGCACCCAGATCACATTCACTTCCCTGATTTCCCGTATCAGCCCCCTCCTCATTGTGACCTCCCCCAACAACAAGAATAAAACAGAAAAATATACCAAACTTCTGCTGTACAAATACTAATTGGCTTCTGGACAGTTTCTTTAATAAAACAATTCTTAATGGTCATCCCAGCTCAAACCTAAAGGAATTAATTATAAACGTATATTATAAACGCATATTATCACTAAAATATATAGTCCTGTGACAGGGCAATGGTTACTCATTCTTAGCTGGAGCCATTTTGGTTTAACCTGAAATTCATACCCCCTTTCCTACTTGTGCCATGAAATGTCCCTTAGAAAAGTACCTAAACCTGTTCTATACAGTTGAGGCTAAATTGCCCTCAGATAACTACAAATTTTTGGTTCTGTAAAATTGCAGGGACTGCCACTTGCCGCACAGGAGTTTGGTTTTCTGGCTTCTTTTCATTACAAGCTCCATAAAAATGTACTCTAGATGCTCTGTGAAAATTGTTTTTCCTCTAGGGAGTCACCAAGGCTGTTAAATAAATACTCTAAATATAAACCTTGGCTATGCTCAGTGGTTGTTTTGGTCATCATACTGCAATAGTCTTAGTTAAGAAAAACCTTATTAAAAGCCCACAATGTATTAAAATGAAGGTTCAATTGACACCTTACATCATATTATGTTATGAACTAGATTTTATGAAAAGTTACAACTCATACAGACACAGGCACACATACACATGTCTGTATACTCAAGTCAGAACTGTTAGAGAGAAGAGAGCATCACTTGTGAAATATAACAGAATGCAGAACAGAATAAAATAAAGAGAAATATGCTGGGAGAAGCTGCAAAGAGAAGAACCATAGTTGATGAATGATAGCTACTGGGGAAATGTTCAGTGTCTCTATTGAAATTCTGTCTGAGCTAATCAGGCACCACTCAGACGTCTACAGTGGAAAAGGTAGGAAACATGCAAGAGGGTTAGATAATCCACCAGTGTAATGAAGTTGGAGGAAAACTCTTAGGACACCACTCTCTATTTTTGTGAGACAAAATGTCCGTAAGTTTTTCTTAAGTTTGGTGAGCCCCACTGCACAATACCAGCTGTGAATCATCACCTAGCTAAACCTTACAGCCCCAGGGGGAACACTGTTGCCCCTCACAGTCATCAACAATGCAGGATCTGTCAGATTTCCACCAAGAACTGTGACAGAATTGTCAGTGTATTCTAGTGTATGAAGAAATTTATACAGAGTGGGGAGATAAGCTGAGACCTTAGGAAGAACCAATTACAGTCTCTCTTTCCCCATGCGCTGTCAGGTAGAACACCTAGGGAATGACCGTAGCAGAAATAGAAACTGCTCTAAAGTGTTGTACAACAGGCCCAGAAAGACAGAGACCATGGTCCCAAATGTGACTTTATAGCTTCTACATTTTACAAATGTGTGTTTATGGGGAATGAGTGTGGGTAACATCCAGCAGACGTGAAAGGGACACATAAGAATGTCACACAGTGGGACCAGGAATAAAGAAATTTATGCGTTTTGAAAGTGAAAGAAGTATTTATGTACATGGAACAATATAAACTATTATATATATATATGTGTGTGTGTGTGTGTATGTATATATATGTTTTTACATATAGGAATATGTGCAATATATGAATACATGCATTTATATATAAAACCAGATAAGTCTGCATTATGTTACTTGTATGTACTTGATGTAAGTGTATATTGTTTGGTGTTAGATAACCAATTAAAGAGTATTTTATCCTACTCCAGCAATTCCTTCATTGCTTGTAGCTCTAAGCCTTAAAGAAAAAGTTTCTCATTACAACAAAAGTAGATGATTACAAACAAAACAAAAACAAAATTAACAGCTAATTAACTGGTATAAAGTAGAAAAAGTAAGACTGATCAAATGCAGCAAACAACTGATTGTATTGTGCCAAGTCCCAGTTGTATACCAACAAAGCAACTCCTGTACTCAAGGATCAAGGAACATTGTGTTAGAGACAGAGGAATATATCTGTTGTGAGAGTACACAACATATTGGAAAAGCTTCACCCATGAAGTCTCAACATAAATCCTTAAATAATTCTGATAAAAACACCAAAAGACATGCTCAAATGCAAGGGGGAAATCCTGAAAAGTGCCAGTAATACCACTTAAGAATAATCACATAAATGATGTCATCATGTAGAAGAATGCAAATGGATTCAGATTTGTAATGATTGACATCTTATTGTGTTATAAACCAGCTCTTAACATAAAGCCAGTTGCACTAAACCTGATAGAAGAGAAAGTGGGAAGTATTCTTGAAGGTGTGAGCACAGGATACTATTTCCTGAATATAACACTAGCAGTACTAAAACTGAAATTGACAATTAATAAATGGGACTTCCTGAAAATAAAAAGCTTCTGTATAGCAAGTGGCACAGTCAATAACACAAAATGGCAGCCTACAGAATGAGAAAAGATATTTGTAGGGCCCGGGTCTGGCCATGCTCCTGGGGTACATCTTGAGAATAGTTTCTGGTCAGCCAGCTAAAACATCTTGTTTGTTCCTGTGCTCCCTCTGCTCTGCCTGGTGATTAGCTGTAGGGCATTGTTTCATCTTTGGTATGGTAATTTCCCACCTACCTAGGTGGAAATCCTTGTGCAGTAGCTAGGTATATAAGGATTTCCCCAAAGTTGAATAAATGGCATTTGGCTGATCTCCTTTCAAATGACCCAAGTCTCTTGTGTGTTCTTTCAATCTCCAGACCCTTGCCTGACTCATGCACAGTACAGTGGCATGCGAACTGTACCAATGGGGTAACACAGAATCGGGAATTACAGATCTTCAACAATCCTAAATCTGACAGAGAGAAGGATTCCAAATATATAAAGAACTCAAGAAACTAAACACCAAAATGCCAAATAATCCAATTAAAAATGGGTACAGATTTAAACAGAGATTTCTCAGCAGAAAAATCTTAAATGGCTAAAAGACATTTATGGAATTTCAGAATATCCTGTCATCAGAGGATGCAAAGCAAAAGAACTCTGAGATACCATCTTAGACCTGTCAGAACGGCTAACATCAAAAACACTGATGTCAGCTTATGTTGGAGGGGATGTGGAGTAAGGGGAACACTCCTCAACTGTTGGTGGAAGTGCAAAATTCTACAGTGACTTTAGAAATCAGTATGAGTGTTTCCTATAAAACTGTAAAGCAACCTACCTCAACACCCAGTAATACTACTCTTGGGCATATAACCAAAGAATGCACAAACATTTCACGAGTACATGTGCTCAACTATGTTCTTACTGTAATTGTTCATAATAGCCAGAACATGGAGACAACCTACATGCCCCTAATTGAAGAATAGATAAAAATACTGTGGTACATTTACACAGTGGAGTGTTACTCAGCTATAAGAGAACAATGGCATCATAAAAATTTTCAGGAAATGTATGAAACTAGAAAAATCAACCTAAGTGAGGTAATCCAGACCCAGAAAGACAAACATGGAATATACCCACTCATAAGTGGACATCATATGTAAAGCAAAGGAAAACCAGGCTACAATTTAGTCCCAGAGAAGCAAGGTAGCAAGGAAAACCCAAAGAAGGATTTATGAATATCCCTGGAAATTGGAAATACATGAGATTTCCTGGGTAAACTGGGGGTGGGGGAAGATGGGAAAAGATAGGAAATGGGAACATAAGTGATCAGGATGGTGGAGCTGTGGGAGGAATGGAGGGGGAGACCAGTGTAAGAGATATCTTGATAGAGGGGGTCATTATAGGATTAGGGAGGAACCTGGTGCCAGGGAAATTCACAGGAATCCCCAATAATGACTACAGCTAATACTCCAAACTATAGTAGAGTAGGTGCCTGAACTGACCCTCTCCTCTAATCAGACTGGTAACTACCATAATTGTCATAGAAAATTCATTCAGTAACCAATGGAAATGTATGCAGAGATTCACAGCCAATCACTGAGTACAGTTGAAGAGAGGAAGGAGGATTATATGTACAGTGAGGGTAAAGATCATAATAGGGAACTCCAAATAGAAAGATGACCTGAACTCGTGGGAGCTCACGGACACTAGGCCAACAGCTCATGATCCTGCATGGGGCTGAACTAGGTCCTTTCATGTTGGTGACATTTGCATAGCTTGGTCTCATTTTGGGACTTCTAGCAGTTGGTCCACATTCTTTCCCTTGATCATGAACTGGCTTTTTGAAACCTATTTCCTATGGTGAGATGCTTTGCTCTACCTCGGTGCAGGGAGGAGGAGCTTGGTCTCTCAATTTGATATGCCATGCTTCCTGACTCCAAAGGAGTTCTGAGGAGTAGATGGATGGGCAAAATGAGATGAGGGAGGGAACCAGAAGAAAGGAGGAAATGGAAGGTGTGGATGAGCTAAAAAATATTTTTTTAAAATTTTTGAAAATGAATAGCTACACAAATGAGCTTAATTTTTTATCATCCAGTAACTATCATAGAAGCTTTTACCTGCACATTATTCAGACATACCCAGTAGCAGCCCATGAGCAATCAACTGAGAAGAACAAAATATAATTCTACTTACCCATTCCAGCCTTGGGGGATTCCATGTCATCTCAGCCATGTGACAAAGGTGTGGCTCCTCCTGGTCAGCAAGATAGGCATGCTCAGAAGTTTCTGTGTAGCAGAGACCATTCAGTCACTGTGACCAATGTAAACTCTGAGGGTTCCACAGTGTGAAGAAAGTGTGTGGAGATTTCACTGTGCTGGAGGAACACAGTATGACTGATGGCATGCAGGAAGAAGAAGCTGGGCTTCATTAGCGTCAAACTTTCAGCAGAACCATAGAGACGAGCATCACCTGCAGGCGGCTAAGCAATTGCAAGAAGAAAATCTAAAGTCCCAAATCCTTTACTGAGCCATGTTAAATACTGTTCAGTCACTATGTATAGGCTTTCAATTTCTATGGATAGCAGCTTAGATTTCATAGTTGTATTCTACTACTTTAACAGTATGCTTCATCTTTAATCTCTTCCTTATGCATCCTAAACACTATAAGAAATGGCAGGTGTGATGTTTTTAGTAACTAAGTCTATAAATTAACAACAATGGTAATAATTTAAAGATACTCCTCTTTTTTATCCCCACCTTGTTTTCATTAAAGCAAACTTTGTGTGTGTGTGTGTATACATGCTGCCTCCCCCTAAGTCAGAATTCAAGAGGTCAGCATTGGATGTGAGGAAGACAAGGCTTTTATAGCTCAGGTGTAAGGGGTTTCCAAATGGATTGGGTTGGCAAAATAGGCGGGGTTACAGGAGCAGAACATAAATAACCATAACAAGTTAGGCATAACAGCATCCTGAAACAAAGACGTGATTGTCAGATGGTCATACCAAGGTAGCCATAATTATATCTTGCAATAAAATAGGGTTATAAGATGTTTATAAACAACTTTTTTGAAACAAAAACATGATTGTCATTTCCTGGAACAGGCAGTATGGAGTTAAGGTCACTTTTAAGACAGAACTTTAAAACACAAGTGGAAAGTGACTCTTTATATCCACAAGATGTTTGAGTCAGATTGGATACTGAAAGACTCTGAAGATCACTATTGTGGTGCAAGCATAGTCATCTCAGTCTATACTCACTAAGCCATGAGACATGACCTCAAACATACTCCAGTTCATACACAGTTTGTGTTCTCCACTTGTCATTTTATATACGTCATTGCTATTATGTCGCAGGATCTTGGCTATAGAACGTTTTTCTTTGTGGGGATTAAAGTGATGGCATATATATATATATATATGCAAAACACTCATGCACACAAAATCAAAATGTATAATTAAATCATTTTAAACATAAGTTTTCATTTTTCATAAAGTCTCATTTCAACAGACAAATAAGAAATGAAAATAAGGCTTTCAATATTTTATTAAAGTACAGTGTTCTTGTTTGTTATGATGTGTGAAGTAAAAGTTGTTCCATCTCCCAGTTTTTTGACCAGGAAAAGACAGATCAGACATTTATGATGCCTCCAGAAATATGCATTGCTATCATTGAGAAGTAAATCTAGAGTGGAAACAACACATGAATTTCTCACACCATTACTTTGTACAAACTGCAACATGAAATATATGTGTGTGAAAGAAAAATTAAGTTATTAAAATACTTCATTTAAAATTCTGCATATACTTGCTACTTCATATGTTGATGAAGCTCAACTCAAATAGAGTAGATGCATATGAGATACTTAAAAAAATCTGAAAACAGTGAAAAGTTAAACCTTGTCCACTCAGAAATAAAGAACTAAGTGTGCATGTAAGTGAGGTAAGCGGTAGAGCTCTGAACAGTTGTATTACCCTGGTCTTACCCACAGTCATCCTCAGTTGGAGGAATTATATAAAAACTAGCAGGAATTGGAATGAGCTTATGAACACTTACATCTTGCAGTTATGTGATAATACTTGTCCCTTCTCTTTTGATTCCATGGAACTATTTCTGTGCCAGATTCCCATTATCAAACATGAACACTAACACATGACTCTGGCACACACTTTGTAATATCAAGTACTCACCTGCATTCTTACATCTGCTGTGGGCTGAGCTCAGTGCACAGAACCTGACTTCATTATAAAAGGTAATTTCAGAGAGGAAGGCAACTCGAGCCTAAAAGGTTTGAGACTCTGTGACCTCAGCTCCCTTCAGAATGACAATTTTCATGTCATCTGCACTGGCAATGACAGTGTGACTTTGGGAAATAAAACCATTTATGAAGCATTTTCCATTTGCTAATTAAAAATATTCCTAAGAGCTCTTCATGAATATCCACATCAAAACAAGGTGTTTTGAAGCCTAATTAAGTTTTCATGATCCCTACAGTGTGACCAGGTCTTCAGTGTTAGACGCTAGAAACTTTGTGTTTAGATTCAGGACAAATTTACAGAATTCTCTATGCATCATTTGATCTAGGCCTTTTCAACTTTTTCCCATAAAGATACACTCAGTTCTTTTTAAAAAGATTTAGAATATTTACTACTTAACATCGCTTTGGTTTTTTTCATAAGTGCATAGGGGTCTTAGTCAAGTTCATGCCCCATGATATCCTTGCCAAGTCTTCCCCCCGCCCACTATTCCCTCCAAATGACACACATTTTTAAAAACAAAACAAACAGAAACATCCACTGAGTATACTTATTGATATTAGTATGCACCTAGTGCAGGGGCATCCATGAAAGCATAGATAGACTCTCAAAGGTCAAATCTTCAAGGGAATATGACCCATCCTTTCCCATATATCATAAATTGCCAACAGCTCTTCAACCAAGAGTGGGACATTCTGACAACCTGTAAGCTGGAATTTTTCTAACTTGATCATTTGCAGGTTTTGTGCATACTTCCATACAAATAAATTCACAAATGCAAGTGCCCTTCTATGTCTGCACAATCCTTAGAATCATCTACCATAAGAATGATTCTAACACTTTTTTTGCCTCTTCTTCTATGATGATCCCTAATTCAAGGAAAAAAGAGTTGTGATATAGATGTTCCATTTTTAGCTGGGCCCCCTGAAGTCTCTTATTCTCAGCACCTGGAATAACTACAAACCTCAGTAGTAACCACCAGATAGTGCAAAAAACAGCTTCTCTGATGAGGGTTGAGTGTTGTACTAACCAAAAGGCATGCAGACAACAGCTTGGGGCCAGTTTGTTACTAAGTCCATTTAGCATCGTAATAGCACTAATTTATTCAAGAGGGTTTGAATTCTTCCCAAACATATTTTCTTGTATCTGACATTGGTTTCAGTTATGGCTTCCATCTTGGGAAGTGGGCATTCAACTCACTCTTAAATTGATTGGTTACACCATTATGTTCATGAAAATATTGCACCAGGATTCTTGTTACAGTTCTCAGGGTTTACACCTATGTAAAGTTTATAACTACATCCGGCACTATGAAAACTATCCAATAAGACTGAAGCTCCCAGGCAACCACTAGTTTATTTCTCCATGGTCTACATCTCCATTACATGGTATCTTCAGCAATAAGGTCACACTATCTAGAGAGCTTAAACCCATAAAATCACAGGGGTTTCACATTGCTCTAGGTTGTGTTCAACTTATTTTGTTACTGTCAAATACCTAGCTTTTCCATTTTAGTGTAGTCAGTCAAATCTGAAAAGAATTTCTAATGAAGTAGGAGTCAAAGAAAAAGTACAATATCAAAACTAGCAAGAAGATCATTAAAATATTTAGTATAATATAATATAATAATTTTATAATATTAGAATATTCTGAGAAACATGAAGAATGTGTACCTTCTGGTGAAACTAACATTTCAAATTTATTTTTTGAATTTTTCAGATCTAACTATAATTTCACAAAGACTGAAGCAGTAGTCATAGGTCCTTCATGATTTGCTCTAAGATCTCTACATTTGTGAGACTCCTGGATGCAGAAGCACATGAGTTTCTGATTCTTGACTCTCTTCTTGAACTCCCTTTTTGTTTTCCTGGATTGTCTTGTGCAGCATTGATATTATGGCTTTTGTTTTATCTTGCTATATTCTATTTTTTGTGCTTTTTCATTTATCTCTCTGAAGCTCATTGTTTTCTAATGAGAGATCAGAAGGGAGTGGAAACAAATGGAAGAGGAGTTTGGTGTAACTAAAGGGAAAAGAAACTGTGCTCAGATAATATAGTATGAGAAATAACCTATGTTTAAAAGAGGGAAAAAATAAAAAAATACTATTTCACAAAATTGAAGATTACCTCATAAGCATCATTTATTTATAATGGATTTTGGAACATGGTGAAAGATAGGAGTCACATCATTTTGTCTTATGTAACGAGAGGAGGTGTCCATCTTCACAGACTTTTTTGAGAACTGTGGCTATAAGGCTTATAACAGTCCTACAGTATTTTTTTCTGGAACAGTGGAAATCGAAATATCTGAGAGACTTCACTGAAGATTTCTGGTCCTGGAGTATGCTAGAGCAGCTGTAATGGAACAAGGACCAACTGAATTACAGTTTATGGCCAGCTATGGTTCCAGTTTGCCTTGCAGTTAGAGTGCCTGACCCATAAGGTGTTTTTGCAGCAGTAAACAAAAAGACAAGGGTCCCTGACAGAAGACCATAAGAAAGGCAGCTCTATTGCAAACAAGTTACTGGCTTCGTGGCACATCGTCTGGGCAATGGAAAAACTGCTATTGGAAAGCTGAAGGCTAAAGTGGGCCAGCAGAGTATGATCAGCTCCTGTAGCTTCCAAATCCAGTCAGGTGAAAAAAAAATCCCATTTGCATTATGATTAGTCTTAGGAAGACAAGGTGATAAATCCTTCACTTCCTTTATTGATTTCGTATAGGGAAAACTGAGTAAAGTTTGGATCAAAATAAAGCTTACATTTTACATAGTTATAATAAAATTAGGAGAAAAATATTTTCATAATCATACCAAACTGAATATGGACAAAATTGAATAATGTCTCATAAGAAAAAAGGGCCCAAAACAAGGGAAACAAAGAGAAGTGAGGCGAGAGATGTACACCAACCACCAATTATGATTATACAAAAGAGCAATACAACCTCGAAAGATGGTGGAAAGAGTATAAAATGCCGGGAAGGTAGAAACCAAAACCAGGATGTTCTGTGTGGCTCTAGATTCAGGGGAGTTTCTACTGGAACCATGAGAGCTGTGGATGTGTTGAACCCTCTGCTTGTGTCTGTACAGAAAGACAATCATGGAGGTGCTAGAGCAGGTGATGAGCACAGCAAAAAAGAACTCAGGGAACATCACCAATGCTGCATAGAGTACATCAACGATTTCATCCCGCCCTACAGTAGAGCAATATCCAAAATCTCGATTTCTTGTTATGTTCTTTCTGTTCATTTTGATAAATGTGTACATAAGGAAAATGAAACGTATCAACATGTAGAAGACCCAGAGAAAAGAAAGGGAGCAATGAATATACTTTGTAGCCTTGACTTTTTGGTGGTTCAAATATGATTTCCTGGGGTTGATGGCTATGTCCTGGAAGACACTCAAGAGGCAGGTGGTCCCAATGGACACGCTTCGAGAAAATCCTTGAATGTACAATAGGAGCTCACATCCAAAATCATTCAAGAACTGCTTCAATCCCCAAACTGCCATTGTGTGGGGCACTCCTGCAGAGAGAATGATCAAGACATTGGCTACCATTAGGTGCAAGAGAATTAAATCTGTGAGCTTCAATGGAATTCTCTGAGGTAAAGGACTATATAGTAGAACAAAATAGAGAGATTTCCCAGAAGTCCAGTAGTAGTTTGTGATAAGAAAATGATTCTGATTGACATATTCCAGATGTTCATTCTGATTCAGTACAATATCTTCAAGAATATGACTCACTATTTCTCAGATCTAATGAATAATGCCAAATGATGATAGTCAGGAATGAAGAAACTTGCTGTTAATCCATGGAGTTATGGAGAGTCTGAAACTGAGGGTCCTTTAAAATCAGAAGTTCAAGGACAGCCTAGAAGAAACAAAGATACCATATCCCCAGAATTTTAACAGAAGTAGTTATTTTCCATATTTCTTGCGTTGCATTTCTCAGTACTTCAGAATGTAAAGGATGGTGGAAGGATAGTCACCATGTTTCCTAGAAAATGCAAAACTCTGGATGATGGGATGTTGGGCTATTTGAAAATGAAATGTGACAGGCACTGTAAATAAACTTCTATGTAAGTCTTTCAGGATATCTTTATGTTTGCTAGTCATATTGTAAAAGAAATGAGCTTCAAGAATGGCACAAAACTAAAGTAAAGCACAACTTATATCCCAAACAATATTTCATTGATTTCTTGGAGGTTTTACATAATAATTCTGGTCATATTAACTTTCCTGTCTTCCCATATCTGCCCTCACTTCCTTGTGACCTCCCCCCGAAAATATAAAAAAGAAAAATTACCAACTCCAGCTTGTGTTACCCATATACACGCTGGATCACGGTAAGTTTTCTTTTGGGGGGCATATAGAGTTTATTTAGTGGGTATTGGGAAAGGTTATGGAGGGGGGAGAGATAAAGAGAGAGCAAAAAGGGGAATATATATCTATTGTGAGAGTACATATCCTAAAATTATTGAAAAAGCTTTACCCACAATATCCACAATGCAATTCTTGCACTTAAGGCTCAGGGAACATTGTGACAGAGGAGATAGATTTTAAGAGCCATAGTAATGTATCTGTTGTGAGATTGCATCTCCTAAAAATGTTGGAAAAGCTATATCCATGCAGTCTCAACACAGATGCAAAAACCAATCTGAATAATGACACCAACAGACATGCTCACATGGAAGGGAGAAATTCCAAAAGGCCCCAGCAAGCCCATTTAAAAACAAACCATACAAATGAGCTTAGTTTTTACATTATCCAATAACAATCATGGAAACATTTACCTGCAGAATATCCATATATGCCCCGTGGCAGTCCTTGATCAATTTACTGCTGAGTACAAAATATAGTTCTACATACCAGTTTTGGTTTGAGAGATCCCATGTCATCTCAGCTAGAGGGCAAATGTATGACTGTCACTGGTCAGCAGGCTAGGCATGCATGGAGGTCACCATTTAACAGAGATCTTGAAGTAACCATGACCAATTTGATCATTGAAGGTTATGCAGTGTGAGAGAAGTGTGAGGAGATTTTGCTGTACTAGAGGAACACACCATGTCTCATAGCTTGCAGGAATAGGAGGCTGAGTTTCATTGGTATCAAACATTCATTAGAGTCATGTCGACCAGCATCATCTGCAGGTAACTAAGCAGCTGGAAGTAGATGATCTAAAAATTCCCACTCGGTGACAGAAGTACTGCAAAGACCTTGAACAAAAAGAGAAACTTCACAGGAAATTGGGTGAAGACTGCAATTCAGGTTGATATGAGGCCTTCAGGAGAAGACAAATGAGGATAAAGTCTGTCTTTTGCAAAATGGGAGGACTGTTACAGGGAGAGGGAAAAGGTTCCAGAGTCCTCTGGAGGCAGCAGTTACTATGGAGAAAATGGGAGAATGGAAGCAGGAGTGACAGAAGAAGCTGTCTCTGTGCCAGCACACATGATGCACAGGGATTAGGAGACACACCCAGAAATAAAAAAGCAAAAAGAAAGCTAAATTTTTTTTTTAAATTGATGATTGAAGAAAAGAAAGGCTACAAGAAAGTTAAGGAATGAGAAAAATCATCATTGGATTAAAAAAATCTATTCTGAAAATAATAATAACACAGAATCAGATATTGGGGTTCAACCCAATAACCAGAAAAGCAAAGCAACCAACCCACTAGAGAAGTCTTACCTCTTCCAAGGTCTGGTGACCACAGACTAAACAGACTGAGCAGACCAAGCAGACTAAGTCCCTCTCTCCTCCCAGGTATATTCCCTCTCGCACTTGGATTAAAGCCAAGACTCCATATTACTGGGATTAAAGGCATAAATCACCACCATCTGGATTTGTTTATGCATTAACTTCGTGTAGCCCAGAACTCAGAGAGATCAATCTGCCTCTGTCTCCTAAATCCTGGGATTAAAGCTGTGTACCACCACTGCCTGATCTCTAGTGTGTAACATGAGGGCTGGGCTGTTTGTTAGGGTTTTCTGTCCTGCCAGGTTCCCTCAGCTGTTTAACCCCAAAGAAAATCACTCAGAGTCTATATTAGATTATAAACTGATTGGCCCATTAGCTCAGTCTTCTTATTAGCTCTTGTAGCTTATATTAACCCATTGTTCTTATCTAAGATAGCCACATGGCTTGGTACCTTTTTCAGCTGGCAGGTTACATGTTGCTTCTTCAGAGGTCTGATCTGGACTGGGGAAAGAGCTTCCTTCTTCCCAGAATACTCGTATTCTCATCACCCCGCCTCTCCTTCCTGTCTGGTTGACCCACCTATACTTCCTGCCTGACCAATCAGCGTTTATTTAAAACATGATTGACAAAATACAGACAATTCTCCTGTACCACTTCCCCCTCTTATTTTTAAACAAAGGAAAATATCCATAGTCCATTTTTGGGGGTGGGAGAATGTGGATGTAGTATTCCAGGCTTCCTCCAACTGGTTGGGGGTGCTGATAATCTTACGGGGACCTAAAAAAATTTGGAGTTATGATCAAGTCGTGACTAAAGTATCCCTTGAGTCTTGGTCATCTCAGGCAGCATCTTGAATCTGTTCTGGATATGGAACTCAGACATCTAGACCATCTATTCCTGCCGGAGATTTCTCAGGTGGTCTTCCTTGATCAAAGCTGATTTTTCTTAACTCTGAATATATCCAGGGCCTCTCATTTTCTGTGGAAACAAAAGCAAAATCTCTTCTCCAAAGTAACATACCTTTTGACTTCAATTTTGAAGTCAAGGTATTTTCAAAATACCTATCTTGGATTAATTCTGCAGCATTTATAAGCAAATATCTTTTAGCAGCTATTGCGCCTTCCTCAGCATTCAAACAATTTAAAGAGAGCATAATAGCATACAGTATCAAGATTCTCTGTGTGGTTTCCATCTTTACATGACTTTATTTTAGCCTCTATTTCTTTTATTTTTACTTTTAACTTTTGATTTTTTGAGACAGGTTCTCTGTGTATCTTTGATCTGGAACTCCCTCTGTAAACCAGGCTGTCCTTGAACTCACAGAGATCTGTCTGTCTCTGCTTCCCAGGCAAATCCTACCCTTATCATGTCTCATTGTATGCATGAACACAGACCTAAAGTCTAATACCAGTGTTGAGGTCCCACTGCTTTGATTCCTCCCTTAACAGTGAACAGAGTTCTATTCCACTCATAGAACTGGACAATAGAAGCTGCCTCACATGTTTCCAGTTTCTTCAATCATGTGTGATCATCTTCTGTTTTCTTCCAGTCCCTTAAATTCACTGCAATAACAGTCAGCAATGACACCATGTCACTAGAATCTCATTAGCACGAGTTAGCAAGGAACTTTTCATACATTGACTCATGTGCATACTTTGCCTCAAAAAGAGGGGTTAAGTTACATTCCTCAAATTCTGTGCTCCCAAAGTTTTGACACTGGTCACGTCAGACCCATTATATAGTTGTCTTATGATCCAGGCATGTTGGCAGACACCTTCCTTCCTTGTTTTAAAGACTCTCCAATTTAGGTAGTTAAGATACTGAGTATTCCCTCATTTTCACTGTATTCTCTACTGAGCCATGATAAAGATACCATGTCCATACTCATTCATAGATTTTTCCCTTTCAATGAATTGCAGCTTAAAGTTCTACTGCTTAGATTGTAATCTCTTTCTTTTGCATCCTGAATATTGTAAAAATGCAAGGTATATTTTTTTAGTAATTAAGTGTATAAGTACCCAACAGTGATAACAGGTTTTGAATCACTGCTCATTTTTTATTTTTACTTTCAAGAATTGACCTTAGAAACATAAAGGATTTCTAAGTTTATAAATTTAAAAGCTGTTTGTGTCAGAGTGCATACTTAAAGGACTTGCTTATGTATCATGTGCCACAGACACAGTCATCTCAGTTTGTGCTCATAAAGCCAAAATAGTTTCCTCAAATATATTCCAGCCTTATATTCAATTTGTGTTTCCCAAATGATATTTTGTTGTATGTTTTTGGCTGTAGAAAGCTTTTATTAATGAGGATTAGGGAGATTCCTCAGAGATAAAGAATATCTCTTTGTTGTTTCAGAGGACCTGATTTGGTTCCCAACACAAGCATAGTGACACACAACTGCCTATAACTCCAGTTCCCTGGCATTCACATTCCCTTCTGTCCTCTGCAGGCCACTCCATTCTCAAAGTGCAAACGTGTGCATGCAGACAAAACATTCATGCAAACAAAATCAAAAGGGATGTATTTTCCTTCAAACAAAGGGTTTTTATCCCAAAGGATTATCCTAGAAGTAAATGTGAATTACTATTAAGGCTTTTAGTATTTTACTAAAATGCAGTGTGCTAAATATGGTATGATGGGACAGAAGCCTGTCCCATCTCCCAGGTTGATTTCACAGGCACAAGATGGACCAGGTATTTATGACTCACCCAGAAATATGCATTGTTGTTATTGAGGGGTAAAGGCTAGAGTGGTGATTACAGATAAATTACTAACACCATCGCTCTGTACAATATGCAACATGAAATACTAACTCAGGCTGAAATAATATAAAGAAAATTAAGTTATTAAAATACACCATTTGAAATTCCATACGTACTTACTATTTCTTATATTAATGACCCAAATGTAGCAAAATTTATATTGCACTCAAATAGAGAAGATATATGTTAGATATCTAAAAAGAAATCTGAAAAATTTTAAATGTAATCATTGTGCTGAAATGAAGAACTAAGTGTGCATACAAATGAGGTGAAGCCTGAACTTCTAAGTTCAAAACTATGTGTTCCATTAGCAATAATAATAAACAATGAGGGAAGGCTCAAGTTATGCTTAATCATAAAGAATGAATAAACAAAGGGAGATAAATTCAAAGACATATTTGGATCAGACTGTCATTTCCTGATATTCATACTGTGACTTCCCTTTCAAGTAGTTTCCCTTGTTCAAAAGTGGAGTACCTGGGACCACTCAATGCAGACAAACTAACTGAGTTTATAACTTAGAAATGTACTGTTACATATGAATACATTTTACTCCAGAATGAGATTCACATCCTGCACCTTTCCATGGTTGTGTGCTTCTTATATTTCTATTCAAATGTTTAGTGTGGATCTGAAACCAGTTAAATTCACCTTTAATAATAATATCTTCAAAGTTAGTCTACATATGCAAGATAAGATTAATTATCAAATTGACTTATTACTATAATCCTTCTTTACACAAGGGCCATATTACCCTGTAGTTACGGACAGTCACCTTAAGGGGGGACTTACATTACAGCAACAACCAACAGGGATAGGTGCAGGTTTAGGAAGACTTGGTTCTTTCTCACTCACCTCTTAACTATGTAATAATTATTGTGCCTTCTCTGTCTCTTCCTGGGACATGTTTCTACTCCAGATTCGCATTACAAGACATGAGTTACACAGACCTCTGTTCTGTGCTGGCTCTGCAGAATGCTTTGAAATAAACAGTCCTCACATGACTCTCTGCATAGGCAGTGTGGTAGATTCTTGGTACATATCCTGAGATTATAATAGCTAGCACAGTGGGAGAGGGAGAGAGCAGTTTGACAGCTTCCTTCATGTTTAAAGCTATATGATCTAGACAGTTGCACGATTTCCAGAGTTAAAAACTGAACTTAGAATGGGACTCTTTAAATACAAAAGGTTCTTTAAGGTATAGAGATACTGGAAGGACCTGAACATGGCTACTGTGGCACAAGCATAGTAAACTCAATCTTTGCTTGAAAGCATATTTAACAAATGGTGCTTGAATAACTAGATACCAACATGTAGAAGAATTAAAAGAGACCCATATCTATCACAAAACTCAATCCAAATGGATGAAAGACATCAACATAAAGCCAGCCATACAAAACCTCATATAAGAGACAGTGGGAAGTTCACTTGAACACATTGGCATAGGAGACCACTTCCTAAATATAACCCCATTAGCACAGACACTAAGAGAAACAATTAATAAATGGGACCTCCTGAAACTGAAAAAGTTTTGTTAACAAAGGACACACTCAACAAAACAAAATGACAACCTACAGAATGGGAAAAGATCTTTACTAACTCCACATCAGACAGAGGTCTGATCTCCAAAATATACGAAGAACTCAAGAAATTGATCATTAAAGAACAAATAATCCAATAAAAAAATGGAGCACAGACCTAAGCAGAGAACTCTCAACAGAGGAATCTAAAGTGGCTGAAAGACACTTAAGAAAATGCTCAACATCATTATTCATCAGAGAAATGCAAATCAAAACAACTCTGGCATTCCATCTTTCACCTGTAAGAATGGTCAAGATCAAAAACACTGATGATAACTTATGCTGGAGAGGTTGTGGGGTAACGGGAACATTCAGAAACAGCAAATATAAGGATAGGAACACTTAAATATTTCTAATTCATCTCTTATTAATGTAATCATTCTTGTGCCTTCTTTGCTTATTCCACAGTCCTGTTCCCAGCTTAGATCCCATTGCCAGACAGGAATACTTTTACAGTCCCTGCTTCTTCACTGACTCTGCCACTTAGACTGAAATACAAAGTGCTCACCTGGATTCTTTTCTCTGCAGGATGCAAGTTCCCAGGGTAGATGGAGCTCATTAATAAGTGTTGCTGTGGGGGAGTTAAAATAATTCTGATGTAGAAGTCTGTGACTTTATGACCTCACCTCCCTCCAGAATTCCAATTTTCATTTCACCTGCAGTGGAAATGGCAGCGACTGTGCTGGCTTTGGGAGACAAGATCATTTATGAAAAACTTCTAGTTGTCAATTAACAAAGACCATTTAGAGTTCCCTGTGAAATTAAGCAAATGGATAAGGTGATTCGAAAAGGCATCGAGTTTTCATAATCCCTGTAGGCTGACCAGGTCTCCTGTAGAATGTGCTAGAAACTGAGGTCAGACTCAGGAAAAAATTAGAGAAGTCTCTGTGTCTCTTTGGATTTCATATGTCATTGACTTTTTCCAACCAAAAGCAACACAGTTAATTTTTAGAATATTTACAGCATTTATTACTAAAATGTTTGAGTGTTTTAGTCAACTCTACAAATGATTATCTACTTCCAGTTCCTTTTTTAACCACACATTAAAATTTTTTTCAATTTTCATCTGGTCCTTAAAACAAGCAAGCAAACAAACAACAACACCAAAAAGTAAAATTCATCTAGTCTGTTTATTGACACTAATACAGTTGTGTGCCTAGTTCTAGTGTGCCTAGAAGAGTTTCATCTATTAAACCATGAGTCATCTCTGAAAGGTAGAAAATGGACATATCCAATGTCAGAAGCCATCTGTGGCCATTTTCTCTTCAACTGAGTGGGACTTCCTGATCACTTACCTCATTCTGCTAGGATTTTTCTGTATTGGTCCATGCAGGTTTTGTACATAATGTCATAACGAGTGAGTTCACATGTGAAAGAGCTCTGTGCTGTCTGGACCAATCAAGTTTCCTTAGCTTCAACTACTACTTGAAAAGTTCTAACACTCTCTTTACCTCTGCTTCCATGATGATCCCTGATCTTTAGAAGGAAGAGGTTGTATGTAGATGTCTTCACTTAGCTGAACACTCCAGCATATCTTATTCCCAGTACCTTGAATAAAGTGACCTCTGTGCCAATAGACACAGACTGCAATAAGAAGTTTCTCTATTGAGGAGTGTGAGCTATACTAAGCAATTGATATAATGATAAAAGCTTAGGGGCCAGCTTATTGCCATGTTATTTTAGCAGAATAATAGTACTAGGTTCTTCTTCAGATGAACCAGTATGACTCCAGCTTAATATTAGAAGCTACTTTGTTGCAATGCCAAAATAAGTTCATTTCTGTTAACTATAAAATTCAACTCTCTGGTTTCTGGAATTCAGTTTGTTCCATAACCTGACTTTGTGTTGACCTCTATCCTTTCCCAAACCACAAGATGTTCTAACATATCATCTTAAGCTGATACCTGCTCCTGTATTTTGCTTGCAAGTTTCCTATGTTGTCAAATCCCACCAGTAACCTCAAGTTTATGGTTTTGCCATATAAAAGGAGCCTAGAAATTTAAATCATTGCTGTTTTCCTAAGCCTCATATCAGGGAAAACAGTTGCTGAAACTGTTTAGCTGTGCACAGAAGTAAAGCTTTTATTTGTGTCAAAAATATTGCTAGGAAATGATGATACTTGCCTTTAATCCAAGAACTTGGGGAGCAGAGACAGGTGAATATATGTGAGTTTGAAGCAAACTTAGTCTTCAGAGGGGTTTCCAGGACACCAAAGGCTACATAGAGAAACTCTGTCATGAAAAACCAAATGAAAACAAAGCAACAAGAACATCAATAAATTTGGATTGATTGATTTTACACTGATGGTCTTTATATTAATTAAGCTGATTTAACACAGGGTCTATGTACCCCTAACCACATATTCTTACTCCTGATAATTCCGCAAAATGGAGACCTTGATGTGAAGTGACCATGAATTCCTTGTGAAATTGTTAGTCATTCTGATGATGTTCGTGACCCTGTTGAAGCAGACTGGTTGTTGGTATAGCTCTCAGGATTTACGGGGGGGCGGGCAAATTTTATGATTACTTATAGCACTGTTTAGCTTCATCCACTGTGAATGAAGCTTCCAGGTGATGCCCAGATTAATTTTTCCATGGTCTATGACTCAAGTATATATTCAGCAACAGTGTCTTTTCACTTAATGACAGTAGACCCCTAAACATTCCAGAATATTGAGAATTCTCTTGGTTTTCTTCAATTTATTTTTTATGTTTCAAACACATAGCTTGTCCTATTTTATAATACTGAGCAGAGAAACATAGGTAAACACGAGAAGAATATCAAATCAAGAAGGAGTAAGAGGAATATATGGAATCACAATTAGCTTTGGGGATCATTAGACCACTTAGTATAACACATATAAATTAACTGTCAGTCCACACATGATGTCTATTTTATTAGTCTTTTCCAGGGAGATCCTTGTTTCTTCATTAATCCAACCTTGTTACTTAGCCTCTATGGATCTATGGGTGGTAACATAATTATATTCTAATTTGTAATGAATGTCCATTTATAAGAGAGTAAATGCAATGTTATTCTTTCTGGGTCTGGGAAACCTCACTCGTGATGATCTTTTTCAAGTTCATCTTTTTTCAAATTATCTGCAAATTTTATATATCACTGTTTACAACTGCAGAGAAATATTTCATTGTGTAAATGTACCACATTTTCTTTATCCATCCTTTAGATGAAGGATATATAGGTTGTTTGCAACTTCTGGCTATTATGAGTGAAGCTACTATAAACGTAGTTTAACAAATATCCTTGTAATGGGATGGAATGTCTTTGGGAAAATGTCCAGGAGTCTTATGATTTTGAATTAGATAGATACATAATTTAGATAGATACCCAATTTTATAAGAACCCAACATACTGATTTCAATAGTGGCTGCACAAGTTTAAACTCATTGTTGCAGTGGAGGAGTGTTCCCTTGGTCAACATCCTCACCAGCATTAACTGTCATTTATTTTATTGATCTTAGCCATTAAGACAGGTATAAGATAGAATTTTTGAGCCATTTGGAGTTGCGATTTACTGATTTCAATGAATGGTGAAAATTTCTTTAAGTGTTTCTCAGCCATTTGAAATTATTCTGTTGAAAATTCTGTTTAGAAACTCTACCCCAATTTTAATTGAATTTTTGATTTTGTTGAACTCAATTTCTTAATTTCTTTATATATTTCAGTTATCAGCCCTATCATAGATGTGGAGTTAGGGAAAACCTTTTCCCATTCAATGGGCTGACTTTTTGCCCTGTTGACACCTTTGTGTTCCAGAAGATTTTCCTACTTAACAAGCTTTATTTTGTATGGCTTTTTCTACAGTCTAAAAAGCATTACCTCAACTCTGGAAACCCCCTTTACCCATAAACACGATCATGAGAAACTCTTACTCCACTTTGCAAGGAAACAATACCTCAATTAATAATAGTAATAACAATGAAAAGAAGTACATAGAAACAAGGCAAAAAGTGTGCAGAAGCAAAGCACTATTTTATATCTGGTAGAGTGTGAAGAACTGAGCTCAAAGTCCACTTCCTTATCCAGGATACAGATTCTGACAGAACGTTTGAGAAATGGGCAAAGAACGTTTGCGTTCATCTATGCTTGCTTTGCCAAGCAACCATTTCCCAACTTAGTCTCATCTGTCCCAGGAGAAGCCTGCACTCTAAACCAGTTCTGTGTCTCCACACACAATATCCCTGGAAACTTTTTAAAGTCATACCAACATGAATTTGTGCTTTCTGAGAGATCAGACACATTCCCAGGTAGACGATGCCAGTGAACCTATCCCAACACATCTGTGAGGATGGGAAAAATTACTTACAACTATTGACAAAATACTTCATGCAAAAATCTGCTATGGTCATTGAGACCCCTTGAATAACAATGACCAAGAAGTATGTGCACCATGTGCTTGAGAATTGAGCATTTGTCTATCCATCTACTTTCAATGGATTGAGGTAAGAAGCAAAATTAATGAGAAAAAAACAATGACCAACTTCCATTACAGTGTGCAATTGCTCCTGTGGTTGGATCTGTGAAGTCACTCTGCCCAAGATGGAAATGGGTGTTTGTTTTCTCAGTCAGAGGATACTGCACAGAAAGGAGCAGTATGGTAGTAGCCACTAAATTCAGCATATTTACTGATAAATATTCACTATGGTTTATTTTGTTAAGAGTTACATGTATAATGAAAAATGTAATTTTTAAAATTCTTCAGCCTTTCTAACCTGACAGTGTCTCATGTTATACACAGACATGAAGTCCAATACATCTGTGGATGTCACATGATTTGGTTCCCATCTTAATAGTGAACACAATCCTATTCTAGTCAGTGACTAAAATTTCCCTCTCATGTGTCCAGCTCCCTCAATGATACCTGACTATCTTCTGAGATCTTTCAATTTCTTATGTTCCACGTTGCACCAGTCAGAAATAAAGACATGTCCTTAGTACCTCATAAAAGCCAGTCTGGGGCTTATTTATCTCATATGTTCTCCCTTGTTCTCAAAGAGAGGGCTTAAGCTGTCTTCCTCAATTTCTTTGTCTCCCAAGTTCTCTTGATGACCACACCATACCAACATTTCAGTTGCCATATGATTCCTGTTATGAGAGACTGTTTCTTTCCTTATTCAGAATACCCAATGTAGGCAGTTCAGATAGTGTGTTACCTAAATTTCATAGATTCCATTATTAAGCCATGATAAAAATCTTCTGTCCTTACGCATTCATAGATTTTACATTTTTTAGATAACAGCTTAGGAGCCTGGCTTGTTTGGATGCTCACCTTTAGAGACCTGTATGTAGGGGGGAGGACCTTGGACTTCCCATGGAACAGGGAACCCTACTGCTCTTAATACTAGAGAGGGAGAGGGAGGTGGGAAGGGAGAGGAAAAAGGGGCATGGGAAAGAGGTGGAAATTTTTAATAAATAAATAAATTAATTAATTTAAAAAAAGTTAACACAGTATGATCAGATCAATTAGGCACCTAATTCAGGTATCTGTCAAAAATTCCATATGCATTTAGGCTAGTCTTAGGAAGACAAGGTGATAAATCCCTAACTTTCTTTATTGATTTCTTATAGTGATAATTGAGTAAGTTTGTATGAAAGGAAAAATTTATATTTTGCATAATTATACTAAAATTAGGAGAAAAGTTTTTTTA